AGAAGATACATTTTTCCATTTCTTTAATTGGACATGCACATTGTATATAAAGGAAGTACATAACAAAATGAAAAAATATATGCCTCTTTTGACTTTTTTCAAAGCTCATTTTGCCTTTTTTCAAGTTTTAAGTGCCTTAAAATCCTACAGTTCTCCATTTCTCCGTTTTTACTGCTGCCTGCTCCTGACTTCTATTTCCTGAGTCTTCTGCCGAATCAGTACTGCCAGCTGTTTCATATTCATCCGATGATGCATCGTGCACAGTTGGAAATACTGATTCATTCAGCTGTCTATCACCTACTGATTGATTTCCTATCGGTGGTGGGGAACTTTGATTTGTTCTTGGCCCCACTGAATTCTCCTTCTCATTATCCTCTAATAATATATCGCTTGGATTTACTCTGCAGTTATTAGATTTAGTTATAAATCTTCGATTTCGCCTATAACTATTATCAAACATGTCTCGGACGATATGCGACCGGCCATTTACATTTTCAATGATAGTTTCATAAGTCCAGTCTTTACCATTCTTTTGAAATATAACTGAATCACCTACATTCAATATCGGTAATGATTTCGTGTTTCGATCATAATAACTTTTTTGTCTTTCTTTTCTTTTTCTAATTCTTTGTTTAATGCTGAGTTCCGGGATATTATTCCTGACCAGTAATGCGGGCGATACTGGCAATTTTGTCGTAACGAGTCTACCGAAAAATAGCTCCGAAGGCGTTAGCTCCATACTAGCCACAGGGGTCGTATTGTACTCTAGAACCCGGTACTGGAATTGATCAACCATGTTTGCTTTATAGCAACGTTTTAAAATGGTTTTCGCTATCGCAACGCCTTTTTCTGCTAAGCCGTTACTTTGCGGGTACCCGGGACTAGAAAACTTTAATTGAATATTAAATTCTTTCGCAAATCGAACGAAATCTGCTGAGCTGAAGGGACTATTATCACTCTTAATTATTGTCGGATACCCTACCCTGTTAAACACCCCTTGAATGCTTTCAATAATATGCTTAGACGTCTTATCCCTAATCTGAATGCTCACTAAAAAACTTGAGTATGAATCAATAAGTGCAACAAAGTCACGTCCCCCGTATTGAAACAAATCCATAGCCACGATATGGAATGGATATCTTGGTGGTTCTTCTTGTTTCAACTCCTCCTTTTGATTACTTCGTTTAAATTTCTCACATATAGCGCACGATTCGATGAGATGTCTAATTTGTTTGTTCGTTCCTGGCCAAAAGTACAGCAGTCTAGCCCTAGAAAGCGTTTTTTCAATGCCCAGATGTGCCGCATGCACCCAGTTAGACACGTTCCGTTGTAATTCAGTTGGAATCACCAAAAAAGAAGTCCATTTTCTACATGCAACAATGCTTTGTTCTTATAGAACTGTTGACTGCAATCATCTAGTTGATTGTATTTTGGCCAACCATTCCGTACATATTTGATAATGCGGTTATACTTTTCATCTTTCTCAATGACTGTTCTATAGAAATTATAATTTTCTTCAGTTGCACAAACCGTCTTCGTAACTGCATGTATAACGCCGGATCAATCGTCTAATTCCTCAACTACTGGTGATTGCGCCCGTGATAAACAATCAGCTATCAACATGTCTTTCCCCGGTTTGTACATCACTTTCATTTTCGGATATTTTAACAAAAACATAAACATTCGTTGTAGGCGCATGGTTACACTGTCAATATCACGCTTAATCAGTGTCTCCAGAGGTTTATGATCACTTTCGACTGTAAATTCCCTACCATATAAATAGAAGTAAAAGCGTTGACAGGCAAACACAACTGCAAGCAGTTCCTTTTCAATTTGGGCCCACTTTTGCTCAGTTTTGCTTAATGTGCGCGAAGCAAATGCAACTGGCTGTCCTTCTTGTATCAGCACACACCCTAGCCCATCCCTTGAGGCATCTGTTTGCACAACTACTTGCTTGCTTGGATTATAAATTGCTAAAACTTTTTCTGAGGAGACGATCCTCAATAAGTTGTCGAATTCCTGCTGATCTTTATCGCCCCATTCAAACGTAACATTATTATGTGTCAACCTACGGAGTTCAGTTGTAAGTTGCGACAAATTCGGTATAAACCTAGCGATATACTTAAGAAATCCCAAAAACCGTAAAACTGCATTTTTATCATTTGGTATCTTCATATCCCGCACAGCCCTAGTGTATTTAGAATCCGGTTTAATAGTACCATGTGCCAGGATATTTTCTGTAAATTTAATCTCACGTTGCCTGTATTGCATTTTGTCCGGATTAAACCTAATATTATTAGCCCTAGCACGGTCAATTACAGACAATATAATTTCATCATGCTCTTGTTCATTATCCGCGTAAATTTCTATATCGTCAAAGTATATCATGACACCTTTCAAATCCCCAAATATTTGGACCATTTTCCGTTGAAACATTTCCGGTGCACAGTTTAAGCCAAATGGCACCCGGTTAAATCTGAAACGCCCAAATGGTGTCATAAAAGTTGTTAAATGCGAACTTTTCCTGTCCAACTCCATAACCCAATCCAAAATCCACTACTAAGATCTAAGACTGAAAAAACCTTTTTATTTGCAAGTTTGGATGTAAAGTCATCAATTGTTGGTATCAAGAAATGTTCTCTTTTAATGCAGGCATTCAAGGGTTTTGGGTCTAAACAAATTCAAAGTTGGCCATTCGGTTTTTCGACAATTTGCAAATTATTAACCCAGTCCGTAGCATAGTCAACGGGGGAAATTACATCAGCTTTTACCATTTAACTCAGCTATTTTTTAAGTTTATCAATTAACGCTAAAGGAATTCGTTTTTTATAATGTAAAACAGGCTGAGAATTTCCCTCTAAACATATCGAGAACGTTCCTGGAAACTTTCCTAGTCCACTAAAAAATATCCCCGTTTAATTCTACAAATTTATCCTTCGATAAGCCCTCCATGGCGTCAATTCGTTTAATAAGGTTAAGATTAAAGCATGCCTTTAGCCCAAGAATCGGTTCGCACCGGTCATTCACAACAATAAACTCTACAAAATGTTTGACGTCTGATTGTAGGTCAGATAATAGCAATTCAACAGACCCGTATATATTGACTTTATTATTATTTTAATCGAAAACAACGAAATCATTCTCATTAAAAATCTGAATCTTTGTTTTTTTAACTAAACTTAAAGGAATGCAATTAACTTCAGCTCCGGTATCCATTTTGAAATGCACTATTTCACCTCCTACTTTAAAAGTTTTTGTCCATCTAGCAACCAAATTCACTCTAAAATTAATTTGTTTACAACTACGTTCTACGTTGACATTATTACTTAATTTATTACCTGTCAGATCAGCCAAGTTTAGCTGAGCTATCTTTTTGGCTGTACCCGCAGCCGCTGAATTGGCCTTCCCTTTTCGGCACATCGCTTGAAAATGTCCAATTTTTGAGCATCTTCGACAGGTAGCATTTTTAGCTTTGCACTCCGGAATATGTTTCGGCGACCACAAACTGCCACAATTGAAGCAGAAACGTTTTGCTGATTTATCCGCATTTACTTCCGATCCGGGCGCAGTGATGGCTGCAACACATTGTTTCTTAGACTCCAGGATGTCCTTGTTGATATGTACCGATTTAAAGCTTTTGCACATATCAATAACGCGCTCTAGTGTCTCATCGTGGCAATCCAACAGTTTAAGTTGCAGTTTTTTGTCAAACACACCAGCGATGATGCGGTCACGTAACAATCTGCTTTCATATAACTTTTCGCACGCGCACTTATAGTCACAGCGCTCCAATTGTGTACGTAACTCAGTTAAAAATTCATTGAATGGTTGCCGTTCTTTTTGCATTATGTTGTTGAACACAAACGACTCCATTGACACATTCCTTTGAGGAAAACAATGCTCGTCAAATTTGAGCAGGACTTCCTTGAGAGAACGACTTGTCTGCTCACCACCTGCCTCAGCTGCATGTTCGTTGTCTATTTGCTTTCCTAGCAACTGGTCTTCCGACCCATCATTGGGAAAAAGCGTGTTGTAAATATTTGCGCCACTTGTTCCAACAAGCCACAGAAATGTTGCAATTTTGACATCCTCCGGTTGACTGTTCTTATTCGACGCAATCATGTAAACGAGAAAATCTCGTTTCCAGTTCTTCCACGTGACTGCTAAGTTAGAGCAATCTAACTCTCTGATTTCCCTGCGATTTTCAGCCATACTTGTGGAGTCCCGATTGACGGTCTTGATAATCCCGCCGACAAATCTTTTTTTTCCGATGAATTGACTTTTTTTTATCCGATGAAAAATGTTGGCTTTCGATCAAATCCGATGTTAGCACTTTACGCAAGTTTTAGACTTGTAGACTTGTAGCAAATTGTTTGACACAATTTTTCATAAGCGACCCGCTTCTGGCACCATGTAACAATCACCGATGATTGTTAATCAATTTAATAAAACAATATTTTTTAGATGGTGGATTTAAAAGGAATTTATTTAGCATGTGATTTTATTGGCTTCTTTCTCCTTTTTTTAGCTAGCCGGAAGTGGTAGAATTACACGACAGCCATCATAGCTACAACTTGACAAGTGCTGACAACCTACCTTGCCAAATTGATATAATCTTAAATATATTTATAACTACTTACAAGGCTAACACCAATTATTACATAGTGCTCCGACATCTACATATCGATGGCTGAGTGGAAGATCGACCTATCTCGGCAGCCAGTTCGAAAACGCTCTATCTCAAAAAACTTTTCAAGAACGCCCTATTTCAGAATTTAATGGAAAAACACCCTACCTCAAAATTCGGTTCAAAAACGCCCTATCTCACTTCAAAATGTATTGAAAATATACTGATATAGGGCGTTTTTGAATCGGCAGCTGAGATAGGGCGTTTTTGAAACGAATTCTGAAATAGGGCGTTCTTGAAAAGTTTTTTGAGATAGAATGTTTTCGAACTGGCTGCCGAGATAGGTTGATCTTCCACTCAGCCATCGATATGTAAACACATAATGAGCATCGCAAGCCGCCATTAGTACAATGCTAAACGTTTTTTTTTTAACTGTAGTACAATGATCCTCTGTTCCTTGGACTGGCTATACGGATGTGCTTCCCATCAATAGCTCCTAAGCAACTAGGCATGCCAGTCTTTACGTAAAACTTGTTTGCAATGGCTTTAAGTTCGCTTACGTTTGGAGGTGACAAATAGACAACCTGTAACTCATCCCAAATAGCGTGACATGTTTCATATATGATTTTCCGAACAGTTGAAATTCCAAGCTTGTAAGCCCAAGAAATCACATGGAAATTGCATCCTTGTGCTAAGAAACTGAAATTGTTAACTGGTTAAGTATAAAAATGTAATAATTATTTCACATTTGCTTACATACATAAGTGTTACCGCCAAATGCGTCTCAGGATCAATTGCCTTCCTATTAGAAAATCGCTCCATTCTTTCTTTTAGCAGTGACAACAATGAATTTAAGCTAGAAACGTTCATCCGAGTTGCTTTAAAAAAAAGCTCCTCATCCTTTTCTTTAAGCTGTTGAATACATGTTTTAAAAAATCCTTCTTCCTCGCGTGTAATGTTAACCGGACGGACCCACCATCTTCGGTTGCTTCCATGGAGCTCGTTATACGCTTCATGAGCTAAGTTGGTAATACGCGCAATTTTAGCAATCGTTGTCGCAAAATTAATCACATATTATTTATTTAAATAAAAATACACAATTTTCACAAGCGAAAAAAATATACCAAAATGTCAAACTTTAAATTCAGCTGTTTGCTATATCGCTGAGGTCTTCAAAATGTTTAAGAAGCTGGCTTCAAGGCGACATTTGTCGACAAAAGATGTCGCTGTCGTTATGTCGTGAAGTTGCAGTCGTCAAAGTGTTCCGAGCTTTAGTGTATCCAATTCATTTTGCATGCTGTCGTGTTCTCATCGCTGCGCTCTCGCTTGTATACGTACACGCGACGCTTACGCTCTTTTAGCACCTGCTAACTCTCTGCCCATGCCTGTTCATAACAGGGTTGCCACTGACGAAAAAAAAATTTACCATCCACATGAGAAAAGTCTACCAAATCTGGAAAATATCTACCAATAAATTTTTTATAGTTATTTAAATAAAAACTATAGTTTAGTTATTTTTTTATTTATTTTAATTAAAACTATATTTTTTTAGTTATTTCAATAAGAATTAAAATTGTTTTTAAGGAACTTTTTATTTGACCAATTATACGGTATTTGAGTCATATTACTGGCATATTCGCAGTTTCCTTCAACCGAAAGCGGAAGTGATGAAACTAAAGGCAACAACGAAACTTCATAATTTGAAAAACTTCAACTCGAGTTATTATAGACAAATACAGTGACTCAAAAAGCACTTGGCGATTTTTTTATTATTCGCAATCTTTTCCAAGAACAATTTTTTGTTGCTTTAACTAGATCCATAAAAATTAAGGATTAAAACTATATACATACAACATTTAGAAAAATTCAAAAAATTTTCGTCCAAATTTCGAAATTTTTACTCTGAATTTTTAGAACAATTTAAGGTATCGAGTTTTAAAGCAAATAATACTTGAGGATAGCTCACTATGTGCCTCCCGTTGATTTTTTTTGTCGCCAGTCTTTTGTGTTTTTTTTTATTTAAGAATTGCTATTAATAAAAAATTGCGTTGATTTAATTTTTTTGCGAACAATCATAGTGCGTCATTACATACCTATAATTTTTTCTTTATATATATTTAAATAATATATATTTAAATAAATCGGGAAAGTTCAACAAAAATCTACCAAAATGAGAAAGAATTTACCTTTTTACCAACCCAAATTCCAATTTCAACATATATCGTGTATAAAAATTTAAAAATCACCGCAATTTAAAATTTTTAGAGTTTTGATAGTTTTTAATTTCTTGAAGTTTTTTAATAACTTGAGTGGAATTCCAAAATTTTCTAAACTTTCAAAACTTTGTGAATTTGAGAAATTTTAGTAAATCCCAATAATTCAATTAATTCAATATAATGACGAATACTAGATTTCTAGAAATTTTTTATTTTTCTAAAATCTTGAGAATTGTAGGAATTCTAACAAATTTTTTCTAAGTAAAAGTGTCGAATATACAAAATTGATCAAACGAAATTAAAAGTTTTCGAATGTTGAAAACATTTTCATATTTTGTCGTTTTTGAAAATTTAAAAAATTTTCGTAATTGAAGATTAAGAATTAAGAAATTTAAAATTCTCAAACTTTGTTATAAAGTTCAGAAAAGTGGAACAATTTTGGAATTTTTCAAAAATGTTAATATCTTTTAAAATTCTAAGAATTTTCTATTTTTTACACACGAGTACATGAACATAAGAATTTTTCGACAATTTGTGATGTTTCACATTTTTACATTTTAGGATGGATTTTAGGATAAATAAAATTCTCAAAATTTTGGAAAATATAAAAATTTCTAAAACCTCAATAATTTTGTACATTTCAAAATATTCTCATTTTACCAAAATTTCTAGAAACTCCAGGATTTCGATAGTTTTTGAAATTTTGGAAATTATCATAAAAATAAGAAATCTCAAGAAATTTAATAATATTATAAAATTCAAAATTTTAGAGTTTTCGTTGTTTTCTGAACTTGTGAAAATATTCAAACTTGCTGTGACTTTCAACTTTGTAAAATAATACAAATTCCCCAATTTCCCCTACCTGGGTCCGCCACTGGTCAAAACCCATAGACCACACACATTCCCACCAGGACAAACATTGAAAAAATAGCTAGACTCGTTAAAACTATTGATTTAGCTAATTAACCACTGCAAATTTTTTCTCCACCGTTGAAATGCACAATTAACAGCACATTAAACATTAAACAAAAGCAAAGAACAAGAGGCAGAGATGCAAAGTGAATCACGAATGTGTCGTGTAAACAGGTTGATTCGCCGTTCATAATTGAGAGAGCGAACCACGTTTCTTTTCGATTGACGCTGCACCAGTTGAGAGGTCTTTCAGTTGTATTAATTTTTTTTTTATTGCGGTGCAATAATTCTTTATTGAGAATTGCATCGGGCTGCAAATGTCGGGTGTTCCCATGGTTGCCACAATTGGTAACTTTCTCCCAAATTTGTAACTTTTAAATGGTTTGGTAACTTGGTAACTTTTACTTCATTTTGGTAACTTTTGCAACTTAACATCTATTTGCATTACTAGAAAGAAATGAATTATGTTTTGAATGTGCGTAATTATAAAAACCCTTCGAGTTTCAGTGGCAGCACTACTGAAACTTCTACAAAATTACTTCGACTTCTTAATAGCGATGAATCAGCTGCACTTGATAGTAGTAGGTTGAATAAGGAAATGAATTAGCAACCAAAGCTTACGGGGTGTGCATAGCTCAGTGGTTAGCACTTCTGACTTTGCACATCGATGACGCGGGTTTGATCCCTGCTGAAAGTCTAGAAAAAAAGAAGTCTGATGAGGAGATGTGGTGATCTCCGAAATAGTTGCTATAACTTCTACCGCTTAAGCATTGTTGTTTCCATTTTTCCTAACAAACAAATCGTAGTACAAAGCTCAATAACATTCTAACTTCGATTAAATTAGAGTCATCTCATATTCGAATACTGGAAATATGTGAATTACAGTGGCAGCACCAAGGGCTGCACTTATAAAACAACTTTCGAATTTTTGCGATAAATTTTGAATTCTACCCTCTCACATTTTAATACTGGCCATCTGGCAATTTTTGGTAAGGTCCATAAATCGACACCTACCGACATATATTTCGACGTACAGTAAATTATGAAGAATCGAATCATCGAGTCAAACGGACGGTAAAAGCCCCCGCCACTTTTTTTTGCGTGCCGGTGCTATTATTCCGTGAGTCGCAGGTCCAAGTATCGGCACATTTCCAACGAAAAATTATACTGAAAATGGCACAACGCCTCCAAACCAAATTTGACAAGGGATGATGGAAAATCGTTCCACATTACAACATATTCCTACCCTGTCGGAACACCAACAACGAAAATGAAAATAACGGCACATGCAGTAATTAACTGATACAAAAATATTTTCTAATAAAAAAAATTATTATAATTGTCAATAGCATTTTCAATCTTGATAATTTATCAAGAAAATAGATTTAAAATTCTGTACTATAACTGGGAGTTCTTGATAAATAACCAAAAATTTACAAATTATAAAAATATTGAATTTATTAAGTGCACAGAATTGGGCTGTAAGTATACACATATTTGTTATGATATATATGTAGTATATTTTTTTCTCAGTGAAGAAGTGAAGATTTTGGTAGTGAAGATTTGGTAACTTTTCTTAACAGATTTTGGTAGAAAAAAATGTTGGCGAGTGGCAACCATGGTGTATCCTCCTGACTTCCATCTTCACAATCTTGTATCATGGCAAGATCGTTGTTTAAACACTGTTGTTTTCCAAATAATTCTTCATTCTCATTCTTTTGGTTGTTTCTGAATTTGGAGAACCTGTAACGTCAACTTCGTTTTTCGATTTTAGTTTTCGTAATTCATTTCTAATCCTTTCTTCTGAGACTGAAATAGCTTTTAAGCAGAAATAACGAAAGAAGGTTACCACTTCTATTTGTATTTTTTTATCATTTAATACTAAAGAAATTCATATACCAGACCCAAGGTTTGTTCTATTGTAATTAATTAACATTTTTTATTGAAATATTTTTCAATGGGTTGCTTTGCTCGTTTAGACATTTCCTTCATTTGATACCAACTTGTTTAATTTGGATAAGCGGTTTGTTTATTATCCGGAAAAGACTTTTAATTGGGAATACAAAATATTTGGCCAAGTTTAACTGGTAAAAAAAACTGTTATTTTCGGTTCCTTCAATATTCGCATTCGCAAAGATCCGCAGCTGAACGTTGTGTTTTATTCATTCAGTGCAGGACTCTGATATATACATCATCGATTGTAGAAATCTTTTCGCAGAAGAATATACAAAATTGATTTATCACAATTTGTTTCTACTAAATATTTTTTTCACAGTATAGAGTAATCCAGATAGCCAAAACAAAAACACGGTTTGATTTATGTAGGAACAGCATCCGGTCATAATCGCTTACGCTTCACGCTTGATTTGCTTGGAATTTTGTTTTTCTCGTTATTTTATTTTATGGGACTTGAAAATATTTTTCACTATAAGAAAATATTTAAATTGGATTTCTTTTGGGTTAACGAAAACGACAACTGTGAAAAAATATCAACCAGTACATTGAAACAAAAAGTAACCCACTGGGAAAATAGGTAAACATCTTACGAGGTAAGCAATGTTTTCTTTCAGTTTTTAGTACCAAAATTGCCATCATGGCCAATGTCATCTACTAGTAAAGCACAAAATGAAGACCTCCGACGACACATTACGTTTTCAGTTGCAAAATAACGTGCAGCCGAAGTTATTTCCAAGCGCCGAACTACTCCGAGCGACTGCTCTGCATTACACTTAGCTTACTTTGTAAAGCCTCAGAAGTATGTCTGATACCAAATGTACATTCTAAATTCCTACTTACATAAAGCGGCACGTCTTTGTTAAAGTAAGGGAGATTCGTCAGTGAAGTGGTAAGGACCGCCGGGTGGAGTGTAAGTTGCTGGTAAGGTATTGCCCTTCACCCGGCGGTCCTTACCACTTCCCTGCTGAATCTCCATTACTTTAACA